TCAGGGAGATGGGTGCATCCCTCTCGATGAATTTCAGCAGTTGTATCTTTCGTCGATCCGACACCTTTACGTACGGTATCAACCATTCCAATTTGTGAATTATGACTTTGCATTCTTCCGCAGCAGTTTGCACTATTGCATTGACATCGCTCTTTGCTCTCGTCAGAATCAACTCGTGTTTAGCGTTAGCGATGATCTTGCGATACTACTCAGCGGAATGGATACGTCGAAGTAACCATCCGCATTGGTCAACTTCTCCCGTTCTCTGACGTCGAGCCAACCGGCGTTCTCCATCAAGGATCGTTGGCCGGGACTCAGGGAAACATATCCCTTTATGAGACTCGTGAGATCGACGTTCTTGTTTCGATCGATCTCTATAACATTAATTTCATAGCGAATCTCCTCGAAGAGATGGCAAATGGCATTGTTTACCAGAGTCGTGCTCGCAGTCGCTGTGGACCCATCTTCCTTGACCAGCTTTCCATACACGTGCAGCGAACTTTTGCTCGGTAGTAAGCATAGGTCTTGATGTTGAACGGAGATTCGAACCTCGTCGCTGTTGTTGAACGTTGACGAGGCGTAAGGTTGATGCGCATGCGTTTCATAGTGTGCTATAGATTCATCGAAGACGATCGGTGTCTGAATGTTCACCGTTTCTTCCTCCATGGTACGCGGCAGACGAAAAGAACGCAACAGAACAAACGCTTTACTTTCCACTCGCGACCTTGAATCCTAGATTTTCCAGAAACAAGACGTTTCGACGTGTTAGCGCCTTGAGAAGCGGTTGACGACTGATCCCCCTTTGGCATATCAGTCCACTATTATAACCATTGACGATTTTTCTATTATAGACGATACCCATTATCGCATGGATCTGACGTGCAGCCTGATCGTTATGACTTCTCCTTGAAAATTCACCAGATCCCCGTCTTGATCGACTATTCGCAGCTGCAGGTGATCTATCGTCTTGGTAGCGATCGGTAGATAAATGACGTGTGATGGCACCTCTATGATCTTGTATCCGGGTGGCACGACCGGAAAGAATTCGTGTATGGTGTGCACTTTACGTTCGTTGATGTAAGCGCCAGTCGTGACGTTGCATTCGACTCGTAAGGCGTTCACCTTGAGAATGGCGACCGGTACGTCGGACGCGTGTAATTTATTAGCCTTCAGAACGCGTTGAGTCAAGCCCAACAAGCGACCTATGGAATCGTTGGGTCGAAAGTCGACATCACGGTTGCACTTAATTTCGCTGCACAACGTATTATTATTAGGTTTAATCTGAATGACGATGCTCTTGTCCGTCAACGCGCTATGCACGTAGTATTCGATATCTTCAATCTCGTAGCTACCAGTGG